GACTCCTAAGGATTCTTTAGTTTAAGTTCGATGCTTGTATTTCTTTTGACCAGTGTCCCCCTACGCTTTTTCAGATATATTGACCTTTTAAGCCGTCTGTTTTTTTTTTTCCGTGCCTGTGGGGAGCGCCTGTCCTTTCTTTTTTACATCTACTCCCCCCTTTTTTTCGTAGAGGAATAACCCTTGTGCATACATCGGTGCCCCCGATTAATTGTTCTGGCTTAAGTTGGGGTCTGGTTGCTTAGTGACTTCCCAGCTTATATCGGTTAGGACTTGGTTTACTTGGCCCACTTATGTTTTTTTTTATTGAAGTTGAATTTGGTATTGCCCCCGGACAGTCTCATTTTGTGGGTCGGGGGCTCCACCTACATTCTGAACCCAATTATTTTGTGACTGAGTATTTTGTTTTGATAGGGTGAATTTTTAAGATCATCATTGTTAGTGAAGATGGGTTAGTGTATTCCCCTCTAGGGCTCTATTTTTTTTGGGGTTTAAAATTTGAATTTTGTGCGAGATTTAAAGCTGTGTGAGGTGTTTTTTCATCAGAGCTGCCTCCTGGTGTTATTACTGCAAAAATTTTATTTGCTTTATTCCCCATTTTACTGCCTTAAGTTGAAACCCCCCCCGGAGCAAATGTTGGGGCAGGGCTGGAAGATTTTCCAGACTGGTCTTTTTTAAAAGTGTTCCTGGAATTGCTGGGATGTTGTCCGGGGGCTTGTAGATACCACAATGACTGGGTTTTGTTCTCGACCTTTAGCAAAATTCCACTACATCATTTGAGGCATTAAGCATTCGTGCAAACAATGACTCTGCAAGTAAGGAACCCCTCCCCCCCTTTTGCCTTTCACTCTGTCACATCTGTATATTGTAATCTGGGATCCATATTTCGTTGTCCAAGTGACCTTTTTTGGGGGGGTCCATGAAAGCCGCGAACATGCCTTTGCCTCTGCAAGCAGTCCAGGGATGAAAGGTTTTTTGTTGTTTTTTTTTGGGGGCTTTAAACCCGTATTTTTGCCAAAGAAAATTCCGGATGGTGGATTGTTGTACGGGGGGGGGGGATTTTTTTTCAGGCATTAGTATCTGTATCTTTTTGGTTTGGAGTGGGGGCCTCGATTTGGGGTTCCACTCCAGGAATGACGGTTTGGTGTACGATTTCTGCCATTTCCTCCGTTTTTTTTTTTTCCTGGCCTAAAAAACCTCCCCCTCTTGATGGCTTGGAAACCCGGTTTTCCCAGGCCCGGATGTTTGTATTTTTTTGCCCCTTTTAAATGGACGGGCAATTTAAGTTATAGCCAGTCTTTCTTACTGAAGGGGTACACTTTTCGGGTGAAAAACTTACAAAGGGATTTGCATTTCCTTTTGTCATATGGGCATGGCATTTTCTAGGGTGGTAAGTTGCATGTCCCATCTTTTTTCCAGATTTCCCCATGCCACAGATACCAAGTGCATAGTATGTCACAGGCTTGGTTTTTCCGCTTCCCTTTGGGGTTTCGTGCGTATTCCCTGTTTTGTCATGTTTCCCTGTCTTACTTCTATCCCCCTAGAACAAAAATGGAGCCCCCAACCAGTTTTTTTGGGTAATTTATCTCACTATTGCTTTTTGGGCCCTTGTTTGCTATTTCCTGCGGTTTTCAGTTTGAAATTTTGGTTTTTCTTATCTTTGCACATTTGTTTCCCTATTTGGCTCCTGTCCCCTCTGAGGTCATTTATATGTTTTCCCTTCCTGCGTTAATTCCCGACTACTGACAAAACCCCAGCTTCCCCTTAAATTCTCCCAGGACAGTATCTCCAGCCCCACCTTACTGTCTCCCAGGACGTATTTCCCACTTCACCATTTTGTCTCCCAGGACAGCACCTCCAGCTTCACCATTACTGTCCCCCAAGACAGCACTTCAGCCCCAATTTATGACTCCCCGGGACACATCTCCAGCCTTACGTTTCTGACTACAGGGCCCAGTCAAGGGCAGTACCTTCACCCCAGACTTTTTATTTTCCACGTTGAGAAAGCTTCCCAGGTTTTCTATGAAAGCACTTTGAGTTGCCTTTTTAAACCCTTGTGATTTTGCCACAGATTTTCCTCATTTGGGCAACCCAAATTTTCATTTAAGTTATTATAATTAAAAATCCAAGTAAACAATTTTCCCCAAAATCCATTCCATTACTACAGGAAAAAAGACATGATTATTTTTTTTTTTTATTTATTTAAAAATTTGAGCTACAACGAGGTACAAAAAAATAAGATAAAACAGCAGCCAAAGCCACTTATACTATCATAACATTTGGCTGGCTTAAATAACTAAGCAATGATGAAAAAATGATAATACATTATTGAAAAAGTAAATATAAAGACAAATGGGATTTCAAAGACAGGTATATGGGTTCATGCATTGTTGTACATTCAGTCGATGGGGTATTCTGTTTTGGTAGTGTTTTTAAAAAAAAAAGTTGATTGGGGTTTTTGGTTTTTAAAATTTTGTGTAAAGTGAGAAATTTAAATTACAATTTAAAAGGTTCGTTATTCAGTATTTTTTTTGGTTTTGGGTGAGTAAGTGATCTTTGAGAAGAACTTGAATTTTTAAACAGGTAAATTTTTTTTTATATTTAAGGGAATGAAATTTCCCGATTTTAGGGCCTTTTATTGCATTGGTTTTTTTCATAGCGTGGGGATGGAAAACAGGGAAAATCAAAGATGATCGTCCTTTTTTAGGTCATGTTTTCTGTTGAGGTTGGCAAAGGGGAAAGTTTGAGGGAGGGTTTAAAATCGAGTTAAGGGGTTCTTGTAGAATAGATGCAGTTTAAGTTGGATGTTTTGATGGTAGTAGTTTGTGTATTGAGTTTGGTGGAGTGTGCTGCCTGTGTAAATTTGTTATCTTCTAACTGCAGCCTTTTTTTGGGTAATTAGGGTCTGAGATGGGTTAATTGTTGGGGAGCCCCATGCACAAAATTTCCCTAGTGAGATAGGGGTAAATAAGAGAGTGATATAGGGCCGGGGGCTGACTGTGGGAAAATAATACCGTATCTTCAATAGTATGCCTACGTCTTGGGAAAATTTTTTTAGAAAAATTTTTTGTATTGTGTTGAAAATTTTAGTCTTTATCAAGGTGGATTCCCAAGAATTTTCCCTCTGTTAGTTTTTTTGAAGGTGATCCCTTTTTTCATTTTGTTAAGAGGGAATCTGAGCTCTGTTTTCCAACTGAAGAAAGTAGGTTTTGCAAGTTTAGTGTAAATTTGTTAGTCCTCATCCCGGGAGATATTTTTTTGTAATTCGGGATTTCAGTATTGGCTAGCTACTGGGCTCGGGTGAGAGAAGCGTAGTAGTGTCATCTCAAAATGGGGTTTTAGTAATTGCGAAGCTTTGGGAAACATTTATGATAGGGGGAAAAAAGAAGAGGGGCCCAAAGGCACTTCCCTGTGGGGCCCAACGTAATTGTTGCGCAGAAGAGTTTGCCCCTTTCGTACACAAATTGGCTTCGTTGCTGAGATACTTGAGGTAGTTGAGGGAAACGCCCCCTTTTACCATAGTGTACAATTTTACGTGGAGCAAGTCAGGTCAACTGTATCAAAAACTTTACGTAATCATTTTTAAAACCCTAGTGGGATTTTTTTTTTCTATTGCAGTGTAGATGTTTACTGTGTATAAAAGCATCATTATATTTTTATTTGGCCTGTATGTTGCTAAATTGTAAATAAATAAAAAAAAACCAATTTGGAGGGGTTTTTTAGTTTTTTGGGGATAAGGTAGGGGAGATTCGTTTATAATTAATTTTTTGAAGATTTTTGAGAGGGGTGTAAGTTATATTGGCCTATAGTTATTCAAATTTTTTGGTCTCCTCTTTTTTGGTGTGATCTTTTTTGAGTCTGTGGGATTTCTGTTTGTTTGAGTGTTGAGTTTGGTTGTTAACATTTGATTTTTTTGTTATTAAATTTAAGTTTAAATCTCCGTTGTTTTTTAGTTGGTTTGATAATAAGGGGAATTCGAAAAGGTTTCGAGCAGGACAGTTTTTGGTAGTTGCCCTGTATTTGGGGTATTCTGACATGGGTTTTTTGGCAATTTTGTCCTATAGTGGAGAATCATTGAGTTGTTTTGTTTCTGTTGGTAAAGGGCTTCATCTATTTTGAATTTATTTTAAATTTCCCCGCCTACTGTTTTTTTTGGGTTCCAATGAATTCTATGGGTTTTCCGCTTTTTATACACTCGTAAGTTGGATATTCCTGGACACTGGTTTGTAGAAATTTTAATAAAACCTGTTTTACTCAGTTGGTTTATTCTTTTGTAAATTCAGATACCCAATGTAAATTATCCTAGGTACATTTGGATTTTTGGATAGGTCCAGGATTTAATCTTTTACCTGGTGAATTTACCTTGAAAAAAAAAACTTATTATATTCAGACTCACAGCTATCCAATTGAACAAACTAACCCGGCTGGGGTTGCCGTGTGGTCAGGGTCATAAATCGACCGTGTTTTATGCGTGATTGAACTTCGTGCTTAACTTCATT